CTGTGGGTTTCTGAAGAAGCTGTGGGTTTCTGAGATCCACTCTTCAAATGTCTTTAAAATACATGTGTTTCTAAATATGGCCTCCAGACAATGCTCATGACCCAAGGTGACTTCTCTGCCAAGGCAAAGTAGCAGTGGCATCCCTTGTCCTGGAATGATGGAGTGTTTTGATTTGCTGGCAAATCTGAGATCATAGAGCAAGTATTTAACTTTGGGCCTCTGCCTCTTACCCTCCTTCCAAAATGTTCTAAGGAAAAACATTTTTTCTCAGATTCTTCTTGACAATACCCTCTTCCAGGTAAAATGGAGGTTCTCTAAGGACAAAGATCTTGTCTTTCTCATCCATGACTTTATCTTCAACGCTGAGAAGAGTAAGCATGCTGTCACTATGTATTGATTAAATGATTGGATGGAGAATGAATGAATGAATGGACTTTAGGATTATTTAGACTATAACTTGCCTCTATTCTTTGTATCTTTTAATTTTTGGAACTGAAAGAATTCTCATCATCCATTATGCTATATTGGATGTTCTTGATGATACTTGGTCTCTCAATCACTCAGTTTCCAGAATCCTAGAGAAACCCAGGATTACTATTGGACTTTTGCTTCCCACCCTCACCTACTTCCCATTGACTAATGTTCCCAGGTCTTCTGGTCCTTGAGGACAGTAGGATCAGAGAATTGCAATTAATGAGCACCATTAGCCAGATTACACCAGGGACTGTCTGTAATTCTGAATAACAAAGTGTTTGATATCTTGAATTATTATAATGCACTAAATTCCCATCAACTATTTTAATGTCCTGATAACAATATAAGCATACAAAAGAAGGAAGATCAGCAGATGATGTCTCAATAATATAGATGGTAACCAGAGTTGGGCAAGGGTGAGATATATATATATATAAAATTGTCAGTGGACCTTTATTTATTTATTTATTTATATGTGATGCTAAGAATTGAACTCAGTGCCTCACATATGCTAGGCAAGCACTCTACCACTGAGCCACAATCCCAGCCCACCAAGGATGACTTCTGATAGAGGTCAAAGAGAACTGCTCTGAGGGCTCCTAGTTCCAGGTTTATAGGCCCTTAGATTAAGCCTTGTAATTTAAATTAGATCATATACCAAAAACCAATTAGTGTTAAGTGGTAGCAACATACCCTCATATGCAACATAGGTGAAGATTTGGCTCTGGCATTAGACTGTGGTCAAACTCTGTTTTGGTTTACTAGTCGATATTACCTGAACAAGTTGTTTGATTTCTTTTTCTTACTTTTTTTTCATCTTGGGGACTGAGCCCAGGGCTTCACACATGGCTGGGCAAGAGCTCTACTACTGACCTATAACTGCAGTGGGAAGCAAAAGTCCAATAGTAATCCTGGGTTTCTCTAGGATTTTGGAAACTGAGTGATTGAGAGACAAAGTATCATCAAGAACACCCCCATAACATAATGGACGATGAGAATTCTTTCAGTTCCAAAAAATAAAAGATACAAAGAATAGAGGCAAGTCATAGTCTAAATATTTTAAAAAACTTAGAGTCTTACTAAGTTTCCCAGATTGGCCTTGACTTAGAATCCTCCTGCCTCAGCCTCCCAGATAGCTGAATTACAGGCATTGCCACTAGGGTCAGCATTTTCTTCATCTTTAAAATATGATTAAAAAACAATAGTTTTTTATTATTTTTAGGATATTGAAAAGATAAATGAGAACCTAAGCTAAGCACATAGCATGGTCCTGATATGAGTCAGAAACACTCAGAAAATTATTAATGTTATTAGCTTTGTTCTGGGATACAAACTTCTTTAAAGCTTAAATCATAAAAAATAAACAAAAAATTCTAATAGGTGTTATAAACCTTTCATGATAAGGTGAAATATCTTTTTTTTTTTGTTTTGTTTTGTTTTCACATTTTAATTGAGACATAACTTATATACAATACAATGCATACATTTTAAGCTGCCCATTTGATGACTATTGTATACACCCATCAACTCACACTCCAATCAAGATATGAAATATTTTCATCAACCCAAGAAGTTCTTTCCTACCCTTTATGAGTTAATATCCACCTCCAGAGGCAACCACTGGTCTGTTTTGTTACTATAGATGCCCTGTATTTAGGTTTGACATTTTCCATAATAAACTATTGAAACATACAAAATTTTTAAAACATCAAATCTGATTTTCTTTTAAATGGGTGAGATAAAGATTGGAAGAGTTGATGAAATGGCTTTTTGATACATTTAATACTTAGTAAACCAGAGTAAGGGCATGCTGTATAGAAAATACAGGAAGGATAGTATATATATTCAATATATGCTGTAGTGTGGGTGTCTGAGGATCAGTTGAAATGCCCTGTGTATCATAAGCATGGGAGATTCAGGGGAAAAGCAAAGCATTTATTTACTTTGGCATAGTGCCACCCAATACTAAAAGGTAAAGGATTAACTCTTTAAAAAACGTATCATAAGGAAACATTCTCAGACTGGATGCGATGGCTCATGCCTGTAATCCTAGCAGCTCAGGAGGCTTAAGCAGGAGGTGAAATATCTTTAAAATGAATTTGACATTTGAGTGTGTTGAGAATGGGCTGCATAAACAAAATTCTTTTTTATTTGATTAATATCTGATGTGGGCCATACATTATCTCTCCCTCCTTTGTTTGCAGACTGCCAAGTCTGTTAGAATAAATGGCTCTAAATACCAAGAAATTTTTTGAAAAAAATTGATGCATACCCTTGGAAGAAGGTCTATTAGCAATAGGTCACCTGAGTTTGTTCTGAATGCCTTTAGGAGAATAGCAAAGCCCATATGCAGGTATTTGTGAGCCATTAAAACTTTGAGAGAAGATAGTCTGAGATTATTGAAAAAGAATGTGTGAAAACTTGGCCTGTGGCTAGGCACACCTGACAGGTGCTTCATAATGCCTCTAATCCTCCCCTCCAAAGGTTTTTCCTTTAGGTAATCTGAAGTCAGCAATTCCCCATGGTTTGGGGTAGGTCCTGATTGTCATAACTGCAGGGCTCATAACTGTGGAAGCCTGAATTGCCTCACTTATACCATAATTTGCAAATTATGAGTGTATTTACTCCTTTATCTGGGCTGTGACCACTAATGACCAGCTGGACGGGCCATCAGCTCAGCTCTGGGCTTGTCACAAATAAAGGACTGGGAGGGTGGGAATATGCTATGGCCTAGATAGAAGAGCTGGTCTTCAGGCCCTGGGGAAAATGCCTCCCAGGAGAGGCTGAAGGTGCCTATGCAAGAGCAGGAAAAGTATCAGAAAAGAGAGGAGGGGAGGAGATTTTACAAAAAAGCATCTGTCTTTGGTTAAGACTGCATGACAGGAAGAAGAAAGTTAGAATAACTGAAGGAAGGTGGAAGTAGGGAGGTGCTATGGTTTGAATGTGTCCTTTCCAAACTCCAGGTGTTGCCAATGTGATCCTATTGAGAGGTGGGGACCTAAAAAGGGGAACAGGTCACAAGACCTTCTCCTTCAGGAAGGGCATTAAGGCCTTTATAAAAAAGGTTTCCTACAGCACTGGCTGGCTGGCCTTTCTGCCTCTGCCATGCAAAGACACAGCAAGAGCGCTCTCATCAGACCAAATACTGACTGGTGCCTTCATCTTGGACTTTATGACTTTCTTTATATACTGCACAGTTTAGGGATTTTGTTGTAGCAGCACAAACATACTAAGACAAGGCACAAGTGTGCAGATAGGCCCATGCCACAATGGCCTGTGGGGAGCAAATCAACACATCTCCTTGTTTTCCCGATGAAAATGAGGACAGTGTGTGAAAGAGGAAAAGGGGAGGGGGCGGGGCGGGGGAGCTGATCTTGTGGATCAGTGGTGGAGCACTTGCCTAGCACGTGTGAGGCACTGGATTCGATTCTCAGCACCACATAAAAATAAATAAATAAAGGTAGTATGTCCATCAGTAACTAAAACATATTTTAAAAGGGGGGTGGGTTGCTGGGACTAAAGAGGGTGTTTTGTTGACGTGAGACCTTTATGCTGTCCCTGGAGAGTTGAAAATATCTTAGTGAAGACCTCTTGATTAGAGTGCTCCGATGGACTGAGAACATTTGTGCAAAGGAGAAAATGTCCCAGCAAAGATAGCATCTTATACATTAATGACTTGAAAAGCAGATGGAAAAGTAGCTGTCAGAGATTATATATCTATATCCATTTCTGGGAAAAGGTGATAGAAAATTCCACAGGATCTTAAGTGTTGTCCATAATGTTTTAGGGAACATCTCACATGATGTCAGACCCCCTTTCCTGTAGCTCTCCAGTGCCAGACAGAATTCCTTGTTTAGCAAAATTCCTTGAATCTTGATTTCTCATCATAGATGATCTTGTGATGTATTACTCAAGTAAGCATGCTCTTTTCCCACTCAGGAAGAATTATGTTGCTCATTAGTGTATCGAAGACTCTGATAAGTTCCATATAAATAAATCTTGGCAAATTTCATTTAGCTCTCTTTTCCTTTTTTTTTTTTTTAACATTAACTTTCATTAAACCACCATTGGATCTAGTGAATTCATTAACTGCAGTACTGCACTGATGGTTAGAAAAGATATGTGTATATTGATAGGTTCTTGTGCAGTCCTACATGTATTTAGAACCTACTGGTATTTAGGCCTGTCGGTGTGTTCCTAGTCTGCTCTCTTTCCCACCTCCTAGATTTTCCAGTCATTTCCCACAGGCCAGCTCTTGGGTCTCCTTACCTCCATGTAGCTCTCATGGAAGAATTCCAGGTTGTCTGTGTATCTCTTAGAACTCTTTCCCAGGTGTGATCTGATCAGGGCTGATTTAGGCCTCCTTTTCTTTGGGCACCAGCCAGGGATTTGTGCTCTCTTTTTTAGCAACAGGATCCTTGTATAATGAGAGATGAGGCTATTGCCAGCTGTGGACAAGAGAAATAAGCAAACAGTTGCCTTGTCATTGAATTTAAAAGGGAGTTCTGTTTTCTCCCATCCTTCAGGTTATATTTGCTTTGGACCAGACCCTCCTGCAGCAGAAGAGCCTGTGAGCAGGCAGCCTAGGACAGGCCTTTTGCTGTGGACCATCAAGTGGAGCCAAGTGACTTGTCAGATCTCAGATGACCTATATCATGAACCATCTCATTATACTCTATAACTGTGGCGACCTCAGCTCTGTCATCTTCAGCCATAGCAGCTCCCAGGTGAGTGGCCTTGCCTTCTGTTGAGATGAGGAACAAAGATATCACCCACAGGCATCTGGGTGTACTAAGGACAGGTGTCATGTAGGGCTCTAAAAATAAAATTGGCAGATTTAGATGTCATTGAATGAGATACTTCAGCTAATGAGCATTCTTTTTGAAGCTTCTAAGAATGGAGAGGGGTATTAATCAGGACTAATTCCAAGATTGCAGTTACAGGGTGAAGCTTCAGAAGGTTCAGCAGCAGGCCCCATGAATCAGCTGTCAGGGAGAGGAAGGGATCCAAATCCATTGGCCTCTTGATCGACTTGACACTTTTGAGAAATGATGGAGCAAAACTTGTGATCCTCCTGTCTGAGTGTCTGGAGGAGCTGGGATTACAGGTATGCACACTGAACCTAGAATGCTTGTGGAATTCTTATGGGGCACTTCCAGTGTTTACAGATAGATCATTCTATCCTGCATTATTACTGAATAAGTGTGGCCATGTTGTGGTGGTGTCAGTGTATGCCTAGGACAGGCCTTTTGCTGAGGACCATCAAGGGGAGCCAAGTGACTTGTCAGGTCTCAGAGGATCTCAGCCCCCCAACAGGAGAAAGGTGAGACAGATGTTTACTAGGCTTTTTGAGCAAGCTGCCATGGAACTCTGGAACATTCTCTTCCCCTCTCTTCACCCCCCACCCCCCCCAGAATCTTGTGGAAGTAAGTGGCCAGTGCCAACTCAGCTTCTGAAATAGTGGAGTGTGTTGTCTCTCCCCTCTAGGACCAGTGTCCTCATCTCATGAAATATTTGCCCAAGAGAGAGAAATAGGAAGTAGAGAAATAATGAAAATGTTAAATGTATAAAATTTATAAAACAGGTAAATGTTTATTGAAATGTTTTTGGATTCACTAGAGAAAAGATAGCCTATTTTCTCTATGGTGCTGAAAAAATTGGATATACACATGTAACAAAATAAAATTAAACTCCTCTCTCTCAACCTGTGCAAAACTCAACTCAAAGTGGATCAAAGAGTTAGGCCCTAGACTAGAGACCCTGCACCTACCTAGTAGAAGAAAAAGTAGGCCCAAATCTTCAATATGTTGGCTTAGGATCTGACTTCCTTAACAAGATCCCTAAAGTATAAGAAGGAAAATCAAGAATCAATGAATGGGATGGATTCAAACTAAAAAGCTTCCTCTTAGCAAAGGAAACAACCAATAACATGAAGAGAGAGCCTACAGAATGGGAGAAAATCTTTACCACATGCACCTCAGATAGAGCATTAATCTCCCGGATATATAAAGGACTCAAAATACTTAACACTAAAAACCCAAATAACCCAATCAATAAATGGGCTAAGGAACAGAACACACACTTCACAGAAGAAATACAATCGATCAACAAATATATGAAAAAATGCTCAATATCTTTAGCAATTAGAGAAATGCAAATCAGAACTACTCTAAGATTTCATTTCCCTGGGTCAAAATGGCAATTATCAAGAATACAAATAACAATAAATGTTGGTCAGGATGTGGGGAAAAAGGCCTACTCATACATTGCTGGTGAGAATGCAAATTGGTACAACCATTATGGAAAGTGGTATGGTTCCTCAGAAAACTTGGAATAGAACTACCATTTGATCCAGCTACGCTGCTTCTTGGTTTATACCCAAAGGACTTAAAATCAGCATATTACAATGATGCAGCCATATCAATGTTCATAGAAGATTAACTCACAATATCTAAACTATGCAACGAACCTAGGTGCCCTTCAGTAGATGAATGAATAAAAAAGTGAGTGTGTGTGTGTGTGTGTGTGTGTGTGTGTGTGTATATATATATGAATAAATATTACTCAGCCTTAGATGAAATTATGGCATTTGCTGGTAAATGGATGGAACTGGAAAATATCACCCTAAGTGAAATAAACCAATACCCAAACACCAAAGGCCAAATGTTTTCTGATATGCTGATGCATATCAATGTGGGGAGCTAAGGAAGAGGACAGTACTTTATGTAGAGGGGAATGAAGGGAGGGGAGTGGATATGGGGATAGAAAGGATAGTAGAATGAATCAGACACTATTACCCTATGTACATATATAATTCTATATCATATATAACCAAAAGAATGAGAAATTATACTCCATTATATATGATGTATCAAAATGCATTCTACTGTCATGTATAACTAATTAAAACAAAAATTAGTTTTAAAAAAGAAACACCATGTTTTGGGTAGTGCAATCAAAATTATTAATTCTAAGATATGTAATCATGTAACATTTCTTTTATGAAAAAAGTGTGAATCAAGTTAAAACTGTGCATGGACTATACAAAGATATGGTCTGTAATACATACATAGCACCAAACACAATCTTTTAAGTGGAATGGAAGTATTATTTTAAACCTAAGAGTTTTAAGCCTTTTTATTATTATTTTTTATTATTTTAAGGCTTTTCAGTGAACTTCACTTAATATTCTTTCACTTTGGTTATAGTCAGAAGTGTAGCAGACAGGAGACATCAAGAATAGTGTGTCCCCCCTCACCCTTCTCTTAACTTGTCATCCAGGCTGCAGGATTAGATGCTTAAATGAAGCAACTTTGTTAGTTACCCTGGTTTTCTTTTTCTTTTTCTTGTGGTAGAGGTTTCCAATTTCATAAATGCCATGCTCCAGCCTCAGGAACACATCACTGCTCAGGAGATCAACAGCCACTTCTGTCAAGAGCTGATCTACAAGTGGAATGAGAGAATGGAGGAGCAAGGGAAGGCACTTCTGGAGGAGTTCCCTGACAAGGGCTTTTCCTTTGTTTTCCGAGCTGGCAGCCTCTGATTAGATACTCTGGGATCTGCTGCCTCTGTGGGGGGAATGTTGAGGCAAAGCCCCTACTCAGGACCTGTGTTGACATCAGTAGTGACTCACTTCAGTTGCAGAGTAGCTCCAGCTGGTGCTGGGAATCCAATGTGGTGGAAATGTTGCTGGAGGGCCCAGTGTATGTGACATTATTCATTGCTTTCCCTCCACACAGGGGCTTAGTGACATATGAGTCAGTTGGGAAGGCATCTCTCTGTCCTGAACTCAGCACTCAATCCCAGCTTCTTTCTGATACCTTTTGTTTTTTAAACTGTCACTAATGTTTGTTTATCTTCATTTCCCTTCCTGTGAGCCTCCCAATGTTAGGTTGACACATAAGCCATTGTTAAATATTAATATACACATGGAGGGGGGAAAATTATTTCCTTTTCTGGGCTTTTTGAAATAATTTCTATCCTGCTTTTGAGTGATTTTTAACCCATAATTCTTTGGAGCCTGAGAAATGAAGGACAGAAAAGCCAGAGGCTGGGCAGTGTGCAGAAGGACTAGGTTTTGTCCTTTCAGATCCTTCCACTGTTTTTGTGTGTCAGTCAGCTTCCCATTGCTGTAACAAATGCCTGAGACAAATCAAAAGAATTATTTGATTCACAATTTCAAAGGTTTCGGTCCATGATTACTTGGCTTACTTGCTTTTAGGCCTGTGGTGAGACAGTATATCATGTATGGCAGACATACGTGGTGGAGGAAACTGCTCACCTCATGACAGCTGGTAGGAAAATAGAAAGAGGAAGAGTGTAGGGTCCCAGTGTTTCCCCTAATGAAAACCCCAATGACCTAACTTCCGTTTACTGGGCCCCACCTCTTAAAGAGTCCAACCTCCTCTCAGTGGTGTCACCTACTGGGGACAACACATAAGCCTTTGGGGCACATTTAAGATCCAAACCATAACTCTTCATTAATTTGGACAAGTCACCTTTCTCAGTTTCTTTACCAGCAAAATGTGAGTTTAGAGATTAACACTTGCAGAATAACAGAGTAAAGGCTGCTCCAAACATGCTCCTCCATAAAAGGCAATAAGAACACTAGGAAAAAATGGTCAATATCAACTTTTACAGAGCTCTAGAAATTAAATAAAGGCTAGAAACAGCCCAGGGTATGTTTACTTAAGAAAACTAGAGATTAGTGGCATTTAACTTGCTCTATTTTATCCTCTTTGTCCCAGCTTCTTCCTAGCTTTGTCTTGAAAATCCACAACCTTTAAACTCAGTAGCCATAACAACTGGTTGCTTAATAATTACTGGAGGGGAGATAATGGGTTTGGAGTTTCCCTGAGGCTCCATCCTTAAAGAATCATTATTATTTAATTTATCTCATAGTTCCCTAAAAGTTTCATTCCAAGCTTATGTTCATTTGACCTGACTCAAAGCTCGTTCTCTACATAGCCATATTCTTAGGGGGTTTGTTGAAAATAGTCAGTGGTAGTGGCAGTAGTCATAGCTGCCCATGACAGCAATAATTGGGGCTTACAACAGACTGACCTCCCCCACCCCAAAGAAAAAGCAAAATGGATATGAGATGTACCATATGGGATTTTGAAAAGTTCTCACATATTATTGGGAATCTCAAGGGCCAAGTGTAAGAGAAAGGCTATGTACATGCCCAGGAAAGACCTCAGAAGGTCCTAATCTCTCACCTCTGTCTGCACAGAAGAAAAACTAAGGCAGGGTTGTAAACTGCCTGCTGGAGCATTGAAGGCATGCACCAAACTCATACAGCCTCTCTTTGAAGAGGCTGGGAGACTTACTGGTTGAAGATGTTTAAGGAAATCTCTGAACAGTCATTAGCTGACCACTAAACTAACTGACTAGAGACTCCAGTGGCCACACCTATCAAAGAATCCTGACTTTACAGAAAGTCCTAAGTGACTAAACAAACAAACAAACAAATGGCAAAATAAAAATAACAACAGCAGATAAACAATGATGTACCCTGGGAAGAAGGGTTGGCTTCATCTAAGTTCCCAGATTTGTGGATCTAAAGTTGTTCATCATATTCTTTTATTATCCTTTTACTATTCCTGGGATCAGTAGTGATGATTCCTCTTTTACTTCCAATATTAGCAATTTGTGTCTTCTCTCTTCCCCTTGTTAGCCTGACTAGAGGTTTATTAATTATATTGATCTTTTCAAAGAACCAGTTTTTGGTTTTGTTGACTTTCTGTATTGATTTCATGGTTTTATTTTCATGATTACTGCTTTAATTTTTCTTATTTCCTTTCTGCTTGATTTATCCTTAAATTACTCTTCTTTCTGTAGTTTTTGAAGGTGAAACTAGAGTTTTGAGATGAATCTTGATCCACTGCTTCTGCTGCCAGGTGGGGTCTGCACAAGCTGTAGGCCCCTGCGGCCTAGAAGTGATGCAGTTCTTAATGGTGGGCCATGCCCTCCAATGTTGCAGCAGACCCCAGCAGTTCATCATCTATTTCTTCTTCTTTCAGGGTTCTTGTCTCGTGAATTTGAAGAATGAATGCCACTGATCAGGACGAGTGAGTGTAATGTAGGAACAGCACTCTTGCAGTGCAAGGGGGGACCCAATAGCAGGTGTTCTCTACTGGAGTGTGCTAGTCTAGGGGTTTGTATAGCACTTGATTCAGTGCTATTAGTCCAAACTTATGCTAATTAGGACTTGGAAACATAGTAACACTATTGGTCAATTTTTATTTTATTTTATTTTTTTTTCATTATAGTATTATCTTTATTTAAGCACATTATTTGCTATTTTTCTATTTATGGGAGTATAATGCATAAATATTTCAAAATTTTCTTCATATTTAACATGAGTATTTCTTAAGTTTATTTTTAGATATTCTTTTTTTTTTTAATTTTTTTTTATTGGTTGTTAAAAACATTATAAAGCTCTTGACATATCATATTTCATACATTAGATTCAAGTTGGTTATGAACTCCCAATTTTACCCCAAATACAGATTGCAGAATCACATCCGTTACACATCCACATTTTTACATAATGCCATATTAGTAACTGTTGTATTCTGCTACCTTTCCTATCCTCTACTATCCCCCCTCCCCTCCCCTCCCATCTTCTCCCTCTACCCCATCTACTGTAATTCATTTCTCTCCTTGTTTATTTTCCCATTCCCCTCACAACCTCTTATATGTAATTTTGTATAACAATGAGGGTCTCCCTCCATTACCATGCAATTTCCCTTTTCTCTCCCTTTCCATCCCACCTCATCTATCTGTTTAATGTTAATCTTTTCTTCCTGCTCTTCCTCCCTGCTCTGTTCTTGGTTGCTCTCATTATATCAAAGAAGACATTTGGTATTTGTTTTTTAGGGATTGGCTAGCTTCACTAAGCATAATCTGCTCTAGTGCCATCCATTTCCCTGCAAATTCCATGATTTTGTCATTTTTTAGTGCTGCGTAATACTCCATGGTGTATAAATGCCACATTTTTTTTATCCATTCATCTATTGAAGGGCATCTGGGTTGGTTCCACAGTCTAGCAATTGTGAATTGTGCTGCTATGAACATCGATGTAGCAGTATCCCTGTAGTACGCTCTTTTAAGGTCTTCGGGGAAAAGTCCAAGAAGGGCAATAGCTGGGTCAAATGGTGGTTCCATTCCCAGCTTTCCCAGGAATCTCCATACTGATTTCCAGATTGGCCGCACCAGTTTGCAGTCCCACCAGCAATGTACAAGGGTACCCTTTTCCCCACATCCTCTCCAGCACTTGTTGTTGTTTGACTTCATAGTGGCTGCCAATCTTACTGGAGTGAGATGGTATCTTAGGGTGGTTTTGATTTGCATTTCTCTGACTGCTAGAGATGGTGAGCATTTTTTCATGTACTTGTTGATTGATTGTATGTCCTCCTCTGAGAAGTGTCTGTTCAGGTCTTTGGCCCATTTGTTGATTGGGTTATTTGTTTTCTTATTGTTTAATTTTTTGAGTTCTTTGTATACTCTGGATATTAGGGCTCTATCTGAAGTGTGAGGAGTAAAAATTTGTTCCCATGATGTAGGCTCCCTATTTACCTCTTTTATTGTTTCTCTTGCTGAGAGAAAACTTTTCAGTTTAAGTAAGTCCCATTTGTTGATTTTTGTTATCAACTTTTGTGCTATGGGTGTCCTATTAAGGAATTTGGAGCCCGACCCTACAATATGTAGATCGGAGCCAACTTTTTCTTCTATCAGACACAGAGTCTCTGATTTGATATCTAGCTCCTTGATCCACTTTGAGTTAACTTTTGTGCATGGCGAAAGGAGGGGATTCAGTTTCATTTTGTTGCATATGGATTTCCAGTTTTCCCAGCACCATTTGTTGAAGATGCTATCCTCCCTCCATTGCATGCTTTTAGCTCCTTTATCAAATATAAGATAGTTGTAGCTTTGTGGATTAGTCTCTGTGTCCTCTATTCTGTACCATTGGTCCACCCTCCTGTTTTGGTACCAGTACCATGCTGTTTTTGTTACTATTGCTCTGTAATATAGTTTTAAGTCTGGTATCGCTATACCGCCTGATTCGCACTTCCTACTTAGAATTGCTTTTGCTATTCTGGGTCTTTTATTCTTCCATATGAATTTCATGATTGCTTTATCCATTTCTACAAGAAATGCCGTTGGGATTTTGATTGGCATTGCATTAAACCTATAGAGAACTTTTGGTAATATCGCCATTTTGATGATGTTAGTTCTGCCTATCCATGAACAGGGTATATTTTTCCATCTTCTAAGATCTTCTTCTACTTCTCTTTTTAGGGTTTTGTAGTTTTCATTATATAAATCTTTCACCTCTTTTGTTAGGTTGATTCCCAAGTATTTTATTTTTTTTTGAGGATATTGTGAATGGAGTGTTTTTCCTCATTTCCGTTTCAGAAGTTTTGTCGCTGATATACAGAAATGCCTTTGATTTATGCGTGTTGATTTTATATCCTGCCACTTTGCTGAATTCATTTATTAGTTCTAGTAGTTTTTTTGTAGACCCTTT